AAAGTCAGTCATAGAAAGATGTACATATAGGCTGCATTGATCACACTCTCGGTTGAACGTGGATTAACGCAGTTACAACTGCGTAGCAGTGAAATGAGATTCGCGACGGCCAACAGGCCATATAAGATGAGCTCCCATCAAGGTTGGCAAACAAACAGAACTCGATTCAATGGGGGCCCTGGCCTCAGAGTTGGACGATGGTAGCAAACGCGTCGCTATAGGAAGGGTTCCAAGCCTTGAGTCTCAATGCAGAAATCATGACTGATCACCGTGCCATTGATGTGTCTGAAGGAAAGGATTTCCCAGCCATGCCTCGGCTCACTCCCTGTTTAAGCGACTTTCAGGCTCACCTACCGTATGCATTGTGACTAAATTACCAGCCATACTAGCACTTTTTTCTTCAATTGACTACTGAGCCTCCCAGGATTTCACCTCATGCCTCACGCCAAGTTGCGATTGGGGGCGGCACTAACAGCCTCAACCATGAAATATAAGCATTTAGCGTTGGCAGACCACAACATTAATGCTCAACCTGTTGCAATTGAATAATCAAGAACAGACGGCCGGGGGCTCACCTCGGTATGTGAACTAGAGTAAGGATCCATCCCGCTTTCGAAGACCGACTTATCGACAACCAACTCCATGTCATCAGGCTCATCGTCACTGATTGTTAGGTGGCTCGGGATATCTCACAGCTAGACATTCTCTGACCTACATTATGTAAAGTCACTGCAAGCTTCAGCATGCATAAAGACCCCCAAGACGCTAGAGTTCCGAGCATCAATGACCGGGCATGTGGGTTACGAAACTTGTTGTTGCAGGACGCAACCAATTTCCCGGGAGGAGGGCTCCCGGCACGATGGGACGAACGATGTCCTGGGTTAGCTCACCGGCGGCAGCAATAGGGTTACCCATACCTCCGACGGTGGGCTTGGCCCTTGTCTTCCGTATCCGCAACAACGTCCTCCGAGAGATCGAGGAACCTCTTCCGCATGTGGCCTGGTTGCTTTTGAGCGTAGAAGGGAATCCAAGCCACCGTCTGGGGACCCAATATCTGCAAGATGAGTGTTGACAGACTAAGGTAGCTTGTGCCTGTTCAAATATGAAAAGGTACGCATACGTATGCAGACCAGACTCTCGTCAATTAGGGCTCCTCGCAAGAGCTCATGGCCCTCGACAAGTCTTCCGTCCGACGCAATCGGGTTTCAGCTGAAGAACACCCTCTCAGTCGACTTTGTCCCAAGATTCCACGTTGGTCGTGATCTGATGCATGGAAGAAAAGGTGGGACCAGAGCCAGAGACAGAGGGGAAAATGTCCTACCGCCTGCTTGTCTTGCGCTCACCCCGTGCCGTATGGCAGGTGCGGGGTTACTTCCGGGGCTCACAGTGCATTCAATGTTCCTTCCTCAGGTCGTTGGCGCTAGGAGCTGTGATTGCTGTGGGCGTGGCGCAACTGCATGGCCACAGCAGCCCGCATCTGCGCTTCGGCTAATCATTGGCTGAGCCCCATAATGTGTCTGATTCGTCAAAACTATGCGCCCGGGCTCCAGTCTCGCCTTTCAGTCGACGACAGAGGTTCTACACTCACCGTAGGTACGTACCAGGCCATTGGGAAGGAAGGCTGGGGCTGATTCAGATGTCAAACATTGGTGTTTTGTTGGTTGTCAAAGAATCGACTGCAACTTGCGCAACGATCCAACGATCTTACATTCACCAAATCAGCTTCAATCATCCCACTAAATCGTTCAATAAGGGAGTATTGACGGTTCTATTCATTCTTACTCTCTCTCCACTGCCGAAGAGTTTACATAAGCTACGGATACGGGAACCCCTAGCCTCTCTCAGTCTCTTCGACCTCATAATACCAAGTTTAACACATCCCCTTGAACGGCCAACTGCTACTCATCACCGTGTCGCGCCAGTTTACCTTGGCATACCGATTTTACGCGACTGAAAGCGCGAGCCCCTCGTGGAAAAGTTGGCCATTGTACATAGCGCCAGCGGCGTCACGTCGCTGCAATGGCAAACTCGAAGGCCACGACTTCTGACTCTGCGGAAGCACTGCATGGACTTATAAACGATGTGGTATGTAAAATTTTGGTAATTGTAAATATGGGAATGTAAAGGCTGATCATATCTGTAGCTGATCCAAACAGGCAAGGCACTGAAGTCTCTTAGCAAAGATGGCAGGCATCAATTCCAGGCCCAGGCCTCTCTGCAAACGAAGATGCCAGAGATCATCGAGAGCTTCCACTGGAAACTGGATGATTTGGAGAGCGAGATAGTAAGTCACTCAAGTGAGGTCCCTTTCTTACGTCTAGTAGTAACACCGACGGCAGATACGAGCCAAGGCTGCCCTACAAAGAGATTTGGATCGTTTTCAGCAGGCAAGACAACCAGTGGAACAGCCTGCGCCAGTCGAGGCGCAAACCAAATCACCCATGGCCATCGACCTCGACTCGTCATCTCGGGAGCCAACGCCTCCTGAGAATGAACCCAAGATCACGGAGGCTACGGGTCCGCATAGGGTTCCCGCAGAACCGAGCACGGCACCATCGATGGCCCCGTTCCCTGACATGGGCGTCAGCTTCCAGCCAGCGCCCGAAAATAGCCCCCAAGTGAAGCAGGAGATGACACCTGCACCACCCGCTGCACCGCCGGCTATGATGGCCCCCATGGGCGAGATCAAACAGGAGTTAAAGACGGAGCCGCCAAATTCACAACCTCAGCCTTCAGGTGCCCCAGAGGCGCCCATGGATGACTTATTTGGACTTGGTGGCGACTCTGGAGGCGGTCCTGAGGGCAACAATCCAGAGTTCCATTTCACGGATATGACCTTCAGTTTGGCACCGCCCAGCAGCGAAGCACCAGACCAAGCCCAGGTACAGGATGCGGCCATGGACATGTCATTCGGCTCCGGAGACATGGGCGGCGACCTCTTGTCACTCGATAATCTCCTTCCTCCAGACAACGCTACAAAACAAGAGACTGGGGCCGCTCCGCCAGCTTCGGCGGGAGCAACAGCGCCAGCAGCCAACCAAGAAAAGCCGGTGGAAGCCAAGATGGAGAAGCAGGAGTCCACGAACCTCGACGATCTATTCAACCTCGATGGAAACACAAGTATGGAGAACATGGACCTCGACATGAACATGGGTGGCGACGGGGCCGATGGTAATAGCTTTGATGACATGTTTTTTGGAGACATGACGGAGATGGAGCACGGCAAGTTTGACGATGCCTTTTTTGGGATTCAGTAAACTCGGGGTAAATTCGAATTGCTTTAGCCGGGCCGGCATGGTTGGGACTCGATCGTCTTGCTATTTAGAGGGCGTCATGGATGCTTAAAGTAATCAGGCACTGAGGCATGGAGAATAGGGGGTGCCCGTTTTAGAAAATCGATTTGATCATATCCACCCACCGCGAGTGTTGCAGGCCACTTGAAAGGCATTGAGCTAGCCATTGCTTAGGGGTTTCTCAAACCAATCACATTCTTGCAAAAGTCCAAGTCAAGCATTCTGTAAAGGAGGCTGAAGGGCCAGTCTATAGTTCTGATATCGTTTTTGCATCCTCGTCGCTATCTTACGTATAGACTGTTTGTTCTCTCAATGAATGGCGGGGATCTCTCAAGAGACCCAGCCTTTGAAGGGAGCCTGATCACGGTGACGCGCGCATTCCAGACACCTCAATTCAAGCGTCTGTATTGTGGTTTGGCTGATGATTGCGAGCACAATCACTTGAGTCATTGTTGTCAGTTTCTATGAACGTAATCCGCAAAGTCGATGGAAAGCGATATGAATCAGCACCATTCAGACAGAAAGAATAAGCGGCAGCAGAGTAAGAGATTACAAATGAATGCTATTTCTGCAACGCTGCTTTCTTGGCCGAGTTATCTATGACTTCAGCCTCGGACCGTTTCCGGCCTCCTCAGACGCACCAGCCGCCATTGATGTCCGCTGTGCGCCGTCTTGCTCCCAGTCGTCCATATCTGTAATCCTTGGGTCCAACTGCTACAACGCTGGTTTAGTCGTGTCATGGCCCCCTTGTCGAAGTGCTCATCTTCGAGTGTACATTTTAAGCGGCGGAATACGTTATTCCGAAGGGATAGTGATGGGACGTGAATGGTGATGGGATGTCAATTGCTTGAAAGATCGCAAAATCAGTCGTGTTGCGGCAAAGGAGGATGGATGTGTGGAGCTTGTAGTCTGAAGTGACCGACGACCAGACACCCTGAAAAAGCCATAAGCGTAGGTTTGTACAGTATGAGCGAGGGTGCTCATGTCCCCTCTGGATAGAGCAGGTTCCTCCCGTGGTGGCAGTTGTCGAGCACACCCTTGATTACACTCGGGTGGTTTTCGGAAGCATGAGAATCACTAACAAAGCTGCGGTCTGCATTTCGAGGCTGACCTCGAACTGGGTTAGATGGCATCTCAACATCAACCTCAAATAGGAGACATCGGGAACCTGAGCGAATTTGCATTCTTCAACTTCCGTTTGACATGATTCTCTAGTATACCTACATAGGCCAATTTGGTATCTGTATTGTGTCATATAATGCCGTGAAGGATTCCTAGTACATGCCCAATGCTGCCATGCAAATGCGAGAATTTATGACAAATGCCACCCCTGCGTCCCAACATCCCAGTGGAGAGGGACCATTGTCGTCGATAAGCCAACTCTCGCAGGCCAAAACCTCGACCTCCTCGTCGCCAACTACACTTCATGCCTCTTGGGTGAGGCCTTCGGTGCCCGTAGCTGAGCTAGTCCCCAGCATCAGAAGATTCTGCAGTCTGAGAGGGACCTGAGCGGCCGTCAATAAGGGCCCTCCTGAAATATTTCTGCACCTTAGCCCGTCTGTTTAATTGTCTAATAACAAGCAAACGGGGGCAACGATGACATCCGCACTGAATTTATACAAAAAAGATTTGGTAGGGTGTTTGAACTGGCGTGGAAAAAATTCGAATGAAAGTGCTCAAAAAAAGGAAACATCGGGCAGGGTTTACTCACCACCTGCTTGACTCCCATTCCAAGATCCAGCCACAGCAGATCTTGAGTCTCTCTCTGACGCTTCGTGTTTCCAAAAGTTTGTACTTCTCGTATTCCTTGGCTGGCAGGATGCTGGCAAACCACCAAGGAAAAAGTGCCGGATCGTTGGGGCATTCCCCATAAATAGCTAGCATTCGTTGTGCCAGCCACGGCACACTTTGTTGCCTCATTCTCTGCACAAAGGAAACGCCCAAGGACAGCAGATCGCTGGTTGGCATTGTTGAGAGATCCTCGGGGGTGGTCGTAATGGGCCTCGGCAAACTCGAGTCCTCGCTCTGATGTGTAGCTGCGCTTTCGTATCTTTCTAGGGCTTGTTGTGTCTCGGTTGCCTCTAGATCTTCTTCCTCCGCGATCGATATGTCATCAATTCGTTCAATCTTCCCAACCAAATATCCATCCAAAATGCCGTGTCTGGTAATTCTAAAGCGCGATATGCCAGATGTCTCGATCAGACTCCTACCGTCTGCAAAGTACTCGGCATTCACAATCCGTAGAAGAGTTCCGTATTGCACAAAATGTGTGTCATTGGCGGTCCGGGGTCGTTGAGGAAGCACCATGCCGAAAGTTCGGTCACCTTCCAAAGCTCGTCGTATCATTAGGCGATAACGCGGCTCAAAGACATGGAGAAAAGTAGGCATCATTGGAAATGACAATGTGCAGACAAAGATGGGAATGTCAAACTCCCGATGTCTGTTCATTGCTTCCGCCGCCAGAGCATCTCCTCTTGTGAGAACGGCATCGGCCCAAAAAGTCTGAATGATGGTTTTCAGACTCTCGTTTGATGGGCATGATTCCCGATACAACAGAGGACTGACTGACAACCCCCGACGACAAATCGGACAGTAGGAGGAGTGATCCAACACCCGGTGTAAACACGATCGACAAAAAGTGTGACCGCATACTGTCGTGAGAGGGTCGTAGAACAAGGCGTAGCAAACCTGGCAGTCCATTTCCGTGCGTACAGATTCCTTTACTTTGGAAAATGTCTTGGAGTCGATGGAGGTAGCCTCGTCTCCGAGTGATGAGACTTCGGCAAAAGTGACGGCTGAGTTATAATCCAACTCGCCTGAGTCTGCCAACGTGTAGACAGCGAGCAGTGGGCCTCCTTTCACGACCCTTGACACTCCCGCGTCGTCATCGCCCGTATCTGACTGCCCAGCACCTGAACTGTTGATAATGACGTGCGTGGATATCTCGGCTTTGGTGCTCGTCTCTTTCGCTTTCTCCATCTCGGCCTTGAAATTGTTGACTGCCTTGGTGAGGATGACATCAACGCCACAATCGCCCACGGCATGGTTCTTCCCACAATCCGCATATGGGCATTCGAAGCCTTGTAATCTATTTGGCGTGGCCGGATATGATATATTTTCTCGGGTGTGTGTTTCTGGGACACATCGTTTACAGAGGCTTCGACCGCAAGGAAGTGTAATTGGCTCTTGGAGAGGGTGTGAGCATTTTCGGCATTGTATTAGGCGAATGACTTCTCGAATTTGGTCGCCCTCCAGTGGCCGTTCGACAGTGCCATGATCCTTTTCGTCCTCGGCTTCGTGTACCGGGTTGGACGTCAGGGCCGATGGTCTGCTCTCGACGACCCGGGGTTGGTCGGAGGACATGAAGCCGTCTCCACCAGCTCAGTGCTGGCACAGCTTGGGTAGATGTCTGTACGGGTTCGCGGCCGGTTCGTTTCGTAAACCACCTTTTCTTCCCTAGCACAATCCTGCTCTCGTGGCGTATAATGGAGGTATCGTCGGTAAGTCGAGATAGTCGACGAGGTGCCGCCGAGGTTGAGTGGTGGAGGATGGCTATGTATTTCGTGTAGCCACCTGCACGTAGGTAAGATCCAACAAAAAAGAGACGGGGGGACAGTGACCAGGGGTCATATATGCGGGATCACCAGGGCTGCAGAGGTTCCAGAAACGAGCGGATCTCATGATGCGCCTGAACGAGATCAAAAGCGGACAGGTGAAGAGAGACCGGCAAAGCTAGTAGACCGAGGGCCGGAGCTAGAAGCTGGAGAACTGGCGGGATGCATGTACCGGGCCAGTGTCTGTCGCATAGAAAGAGTACGTTTGGGGCCGCGAAGGTAACGATGGTGGATAACAACTGGCAGGCGTCATACATTTAACGTCGAGTTACCAATTCGCCGGGCGGCTGGACGGTTTAGGAGGGGTGCGTTCGGGGGATGGTGTGGCCGTGCAATGAGGTCAATGAAATTGGGAGGAAAGGCAGAGACGGGCTGCGATTGGGGAGCCATGGGTGCCATGGGAGCGACATCTCAGCAACAAGCAGGAAAGAACAATGAGAGGAAGTAGCAAGAGAGCCGCCCCCGGACAGCGCCAGGCCCGGCGGTCCATGTCGAGATTCCAAGGTCGTGTCAAGTACCGGTACAAGTTGCGAAGTTCGCGGCAGGCGACGACGCATGGGCGGGCTCTTGTGGCTCTTTCCCAGATGCCCTGGACGGGGCCCCTTGCGCCTAGACGGAAAAGGGCCTAGCGGGCTGTTGTCAGTAGCCAAATTTCTAGGCTAGTTGTGACGACACTTGGAGTCTTGGACACCACGGGGTCCAATAGAGACGGACGAGGGAACCTGAAGCGTGAGTGCGAGAACGGAAGGCCGATTGGGACAACAGGGCTCAATCAGTTTTGTTCTGAGTGCCTAGTGCATTTTCTTTCGAGAATTTCCCTTCTCAACGGCTGCGTGGCGGGCTGATCGACTGCGAGCTTACCTTACCTTGGAGCTACGAGCTGCCTTAGGTTTTTACCGGCACTAACTGTTCTTCTGATCTGCAATTCCCAGTAGCTGGAAACTCTGTGATATTTGTGGAGCAGTGTGTAGTGTACGCACATCTAAACTCGGTAGATGTCCTAGATCTTCAGCTCATCTCATGTGCTCAAAGACGCTTAATCGGGGTTTGCCTCTTGCCTCGAATTGATGGAGGGGTCAACTTTCTGATTTGTCTTGAGTTGAGGAAGCCTTAGAACTTGGACGACCTGCCCTATGGCATGCGAGTTTTGCCTGCCTGACACTGTCAGTTGGTACTTGTAAGTTTACAGAGATATGGACCTGTAGTATGACGCAATTCAGCATCTTGTTGCCCCTCTTTGTACACACGCTGTCGGGACTGCTTACCTCAGCAAGACGTGAGACAATGCATGCCACGTGATGTTCGGAGGATGGCCCGCCTCCACGAGTCCCTATGCTCCTGTCTGTTCTGGTCCGAATCCCGGCCGGGACATGTTGCAGGACAGGCGATCTATCGACTTTACGGCAAGACACAAGCAATCTTTTGCATGTCGTGGGAAAAGATTCAGTAACTGTAAATCTGCAAGGGGCTCTCCTATCTCCCAAACCGTCCAACCAACGATTTCCGAAAGGCCAAAATTCGAAATACCACGGTGGCCGGCAACCCACGAGTACGACTGCCACACCGTAGAATCCCACGTACCTAGGTATTCGTGGCGGCCGCAGCCAGATCTCGATGCGAACGAGACCCAGGACCCTGACATCAGCAAGCATGGCCATTCACCACGCTTCATCCATGCCGACAAGTACCGCGACTTTGCGAGTACCGCTGGGCGGACGCCTCTGTCTCTCATCAGGGAAACTGGAGGCAACAATGTGCCCGTGGCCCGTATTCCCACACAAAACTGCGTTTTTCCTCCCACCTCGATGCCTGAGTCGGACGAAGATGAGCCTTCTGGAAAGTGATCGCAACTGCTTTTAACGATCCTGCTCGATTCTATTGTGGCCGGCAATCGGCGCTAGCGCCTGCACGTACCCAAGGCAGCGCAAACATGCCCGGGCAAGCCAGGGTCCAGCGTTTTTTCCAGCGCCTTGTTCGCTGCCGCGCCCACTCAGATGCAGCTCAGCTTCTCAGATCCAGTGCGTCATGACACTTTACTACTTTTCGCCCCTGCCTTTCACGCCCGCTCAACATCGAAGCTCTGGACTTATTGTCCATTTTCTTCTCGGCAATCTAGGCAATAAGTCGCCCTATTAGGTCTGAGAAGCGCAGAACTGACTTATCCTTCGGGCGACCGTGTCTCGGAAATATCCCTTTCAGTCTCATGAACATCTGCAACATGACTTTTTGCCCAACTCGGTTTCAGCTCTGGCAAGTCCTCATTGGCCCTAGACCTAGTCCTCGATTCCCATAAATCCTATTCCTGGTCCTGGTTACCAAGTAGCCGACAGCCTCGGGTCTTGACTCTTGACTGATCATAGTCCTAATACTACTAGACAACGGGGCTGCTCATCGCTCATGAGCCTAACATTGACCTCCCCGAGCAACTAGCCTTTTTGGTCGAAGAACGCAGACAGCAGGATCTCGATTCAGCCTTGCTCAAGCAATGTAGTGGCGCAAAGTCATGAGGCTACTCGCATACCGCTCGCTTCCTGCGCACTAGCCAGCTGTTGAGCTTTTCTGTGGTTGCCACTCAGCTGGCCGGTCGTGCGCCTGTCCCTGGCCACAGACGCCTTGCGTAGCCGTTGCCGCCGTCAGTCATCTTCACCTCACAGATAGTCCATGTTGCCGAGACCGCGGAGCCTGACTTGCCGATACTAAGTGGTTCTTAGAGACGCTACTACCTTGCGAGGCAACGAGAGTCGTTTGATGGCTTGAGTCGACTCTAGGGTAGCGCAATTCGCACTGCACCTATGCCCGGAACAGAAGTGTGAGGCGAGAACCTACCGAACACCAAAGCCTTCAACTATTCCGTAGTGTTGGCTTCTTATTGGGAGTTGTCGACTAAATTCTCAGCCACAGGTGACAATATGTGATAAGTAATCACTGCGGGCGTAAGCAAGTTACTGTAAGACTATTGTTACACCACAACTTTCATCTCCATGGTCGGAAAATCTGCATAGCTCGGCCAGATGAAAACGATGTCTCGGTACCATGAGAGAAAAGGAGAAGAAACGAGGCATGCACGGACTAGGCGCCGAGGTTCTCTAAGAAATCGGGAACCAGTCGGCTTTGTGGCTAATATCATGTTGCACATATTGTATGATTTTAGTCTCTGTGTAACAACGCAACCTACCTCTCTGTCTGTTACGAGATCGTCATATGGACTCTGCAACTGAGCTTCCAGCTTCAGAGCAGATCTTCGGTTCTGGACCAGCCATTTGACCCCATGTTTGCCCATCAACCCCTCGAACCCCTCGAACCCCTCCATTCTACCCATCCTAAGAGTAGATGCCGCCATTTTAACCCCACTTGCTGTTTTCCCCTCATCAGCTAAAAACGCAACCTAATTCGAGTTGAAGCTGTGGCTTTCTTCTGCCTTTGGTTGCCCAGCCGAGTCTGTGCGATTGGAAAACATGCCACAATAACGCGGCAACGCGTTCCAAACCCTTGCTTACCCTCACCGACAACTCACAGAAGAGGAAACTTTCCATGTGACAGTTTATTGACATTGAGGAAGCTTTCGGAGGATTTTCCCTTTTGCTTTCTTCACATTTTCTCTTCTTCTTACTTTACCAATTGACCGACACTTGCGGACTTTAGTATATTTGCTATAGCTTTCTTATCGGAAGCCAAGCCTCAAACTCCCATATTCAACAGCTTTACTTATCCTTCGCCGCAGCTCTCAATCCTCCTCTTGCTTCACTTTCCCCCATCAACGTTGAACTTACTCCCCTTTGCGTTTTCCTCAACCTTCGAGAAGATACCTCACACTGCATATAGCCATCATGTCTTCCCTCAGCCTCCCCTCCCCCGAGCACCGCGCCAAAATCATTGAAAAGTTCACGGAGCTCATCGACGCCATCGAGGCCCACCCGGCCTGGAGCCCGCCGAACCCCCACAAGGGTCTCTTCCACGTTTGGGACTATGTCAACCGCTCCCGGTACATCATGACGGAGCTCGACCACATCCGCGACGGCGAGCCCGTGCGGTATCCGGAGCAGATTCCCCAGCAAGACATTGGTAGGGCCTCTAGTTCTTCTCCTTTCAACTGTTCTCGAATAGCAAAAAACCAACACTCTGGTCTGGACTGATTATAAGTGTCGTCCTCTATGGCATTGGAGAGAAATGTACATCGTATCGGACCCCGTACCCGAGTTCGCACCCCTCCCCGAGCCGCGCAAGTGCGCGCGGGGTCCAAGCAGGCGGCACGGAGAAGTTGGAGTGTGGGAGGAGTACGGATACGGATAAGGAGGAGGGGACAAAAAAAAAAAAAAAGAGGAGCCCACATTGCTGACATGGAGTACTCCCAGGCGTACCAGGTCGCAGCGGCCCCGACGCAGCCGCCGAGTCCTTTGTCGACGTCTGCGGCCGATCGGCGACGGTCAACGAGATGATTGCCAACCCGAAGCTGCTCACCATGATTGGTCTCCCGCAGGTGGATTACGGCAACGATATCGTCTCGAGATCGCAGGCGGTCGTCGACGTCTTGAAGCACTAGGCTATCTGAAAGAAAACAGGTTGAGTGGATTTAGAAAGAAGGGGGGGGGGGTTCCTTGGAAGGAAGGGGGTTACATCGTCGACACACACACACTAGAAAAGTAAAAAGAAAGCGAAACGGATTGTTTTGAACATTGGCCGGATATGCCGTCAAGGAGCTTGAAAAAATTGGGGAAAAATCAATTTACTACGGATAGAGGCAAACACGGGAAAAATAGAAGGATACACCAAAGGATACACCAAACAGTGAGAAGAGTCCGTTACAGAGAAATACTGCGGTCAGACCTGACTGGCACGGAATCGGCTTCATACGCGGTAAATATTGATATACCGGGATTAGAAGGCTTAAGCACTCTTTCTCCCGTGCAATCGACAGACAATAGGATGGATAATGGCAGCATCGGTATAATGATATGTGTTGGGATCACAGTGTCGTGATCCCAACCACGAAAAAAGTCACCTGGACACTGCATGGTTTGTTGCCAGCGACAGCCGCTAAGCAATGCGGCATGCCTCGACGCTGGGAATATCATTACGCTATTGAGACCAAATACAGTTCGGAATACACCCCTGGAATGGATATTTATATCCATATGGATATGCCCCTTTTAATCGTTCCTAACCTTTCCAAGAATACAAAGCTTAGGACACACTCATGAACCGAAGTGGCACAGTTTCCACCTTGACAGACGGCCTTGTCATCTGGTACCAGCCCATCGGCCACGCGCAGACGCCGACTTGTTCAACGCCAATCGTCTGCCAATATTGCCAAAACAGACGCAGCTGCAGAACAAAACACTGAGCATCCAGATGCCCGTCTCGATGGTTTCCTGGCTGGCGAGCCCACCAAGAGTGATGGGCTCCGAGTAGGCCCGTTCCGACTCGTTCCGGTAGGTCAGAGATGATGGTGTAGGCATCACATCTGGGTTGATACCGAGGAGTACAGCCGATCCCGCCAAGCCCACGGCGGCCGAAAGCAGAAACCCGGGTTTCGAACGGTCAATCAAGTACCACAGGAATGGGTTAACCAGTGCCAATGTGAGAGACACCTGGAGGGTAGATGCCCAGGGAAGTTTCCGCTGCACATTGTCAGTTCTTCCAGTTTGAAATGATTCGCACACGAATCCACTTACAATGGCGAAGACAATGCCAACAAAAGCGCCTATGCTGCGGACAACCACAGCCCAGTCCTTGACAGGGCTGACATCTTCTGGTGATGAGGGGCTGCCGTTCGTCTCCTCCAAAACTACCTCCTCCTTTCCAAACGCATCCTCCCATACGCCGTCGAACCAAGGGAGGAGGCCGCCTAGGCCAACACCAGACAAGCCCCATAATGTAAGATATTGCCAGTTATAGCCGGGCTTCATCATACTGTCGACCTGGAACGATGAGAATCTGTGCTCATTTTGCAACCTCGTGACCATTAGTCCGTATCCCATGCCGATTACGAAGAGAAGCGCAATGCGGGACAGGTTGAATAGAGCCGTGGTTGCTGTTGAGGGCGGCGGAGTCTTCGCTCCACTTCGGTACGAAGATCGGCGACGCAACAGATTGGAGCGATCCTTCATGAGCTCGAACGTGGTGTCGTCAACATTGGCCCTCTTGATAGGTGTTTGCGCCCCAGTACCCCAGGGGGTATCTGGCTCATCTCGCGAGTCTCTGCCGTATGTGGTTGGCGAGTAGATCCCAAACAGCGTCGATGCAGTCATGTTAAGTACCGACTGAGCGCGAGGTATGGAGCCGGACTCTGAGGACGTGGTTTGGCCATTGTGTAGTCTTGACAAATCGAATTCAGGGTTCGGACTGGGGGAGGACGAGTCGTCTTCTGGAGGAGTCGGAGCAATGTGGTTTAGTTCGAAGGGACGGCGAGGGATAGGCCTTATAAGACGGGGGCCGTCGTCGGACATGTTTGTGGCTCGTGGAGTAGCGGGGAAGAGAGGGAAGCGTTGGAGACTATAGAACACAATCAGTCAGAGAGCTAGTCGGCGAGAGGGTGTAGGGCTCAGTTATGTGCTCACAGTAAAAGCGAGGGTGCAGGTTCGGGCTCCGGATGGCAGCGAGGTTCAATGTCTACGTATAAGAGTGCCCAGACGGTCCCCGCATTCGACTGTGCGAAAGGTATTGTTGTCGTCACAGGTTAAGTTCAGACGAGGAGGGAAGTGTCTCGCCTCACGTGGGCTATGGAGTTTGCCTTGAGCTAAGATGATGAGAAATTCGGACGAACAGAGGTAGGTCGAGGAAGATTGGAAGAGTCGTGGTTGTGTAGTACTATAAACAGCCAGGGTCGTATATTTTGTTGGGAAATGCGACGGCTGAGCGTGGAGCGTGAGAGGTCGAGGTTGAGTTGGTTCGGATGAGCTGATGCAAGACAACCCTGCCACAGGATGTCGTGGGAGTTGGTGGTGGGTGGAGTGGAGGGATGGCGAAGAGAGGAAAGAATCAATATGCGTGTAGCGGGGAGAGAAAGCAGTCGAGACGACCAGCTATAAACAGACGTGAGTGACAAAAATGGGCACAAGGCGTTAGGTTAGGGTGACGGGAGTGAAGGAGGCGGCGACGGCGGCATTATCTCTTAGAGGTCAGTTCGCTGTGGCTTGCTGGCGTCCGTGGCAGACGAGAGTAAGCAAGGCGTGAGGGTCTGTTCTTAGCGGCCGTGAGTCTGCTGCATGTGAGGAAGGTAGGAATACTGGCGTGTGTCTTTATGCGCGTCTCTGGTCCGGAACGACGACGGCTACGACCAAGGACGAGACACGAACGGTAAAACAAATGCGGGCAACAGACGAGAAGAGGGGAATCACAGCGTGATGGTGGTGTGGTCTCTGCGTTATGTGGCTTGGGGAATAAACAGCAACGGGCAAGCAGGTTGGAAGAGGTTGCATGGGAGTTACGAGCAGGAGAGAAAAGTGAGAAGAGGGGAGTGGAGGTGACTGGGGAAATAGGAATATTCACATGTCTGGACAATTGCACATTTGGCATTGAGTAGCCGTTTTTGCAGGGACGAAGTACATTTTGTTTTGAGTGCGAATACTCGTTCTGTAGGTCGTAAATGTATATTCGTACCTTGTCTCGTACCTGGGGTACTTTCATAGGGAGTAGCTATGGAGACCTACCCATGTCTTTGCGGATTGCCTGCACCGCAACCTACATACCTCTCTGTTCTGCATCCATACCTACCTACGGCATTTTAGTCGCCTCCAACGTGCGAGGCTTGCATTGCTTTCTCCTCTCCGGAATCTGTATGCACATGCACCTCACCTGCCGTTGACTGGACCGCCGTTGCAGTCGTTGATAGTGTACAACATACTGAAGTGGTGCTGATACTGATGCTGATATGCTGCTGCGGCGTGACCACGGTGACCAAACGGACTGTGGACCGGAAGGTAAGGTAGCTTGCCAAAATTTATGCACCTTTCGCACACACCTTTTCGTACCTGCACACAATTAAACAGTCTTTCCCCCCCGCTGTTGAGCATTGGCATCCTTCGGATTGGTGAGGAGCGAAAAGAAGCACGCCCGGGCATGTGAGCCGGAAGCTAGGGGACTCCAGGTCCGCCAAGCCCCAACTGCATGCAAAAGCTGTGTGTCCTAGTGGAGCCACATGACTGGGTGCAAGGAGCGTGCAGCATCGTGGAAGGTCCCCTCGACACCAGAATTGGCTCCTGAAATGACATTCTTGACCTGCTGATTCGCCGCTACCCCACACTCTGCTAGCCCGTCACCCCGTTTCGCAGGAGGACCAAGCTGCACCACAGCGCTGATCTCTCCCGGTCAGCCAGACCGGTACACAAAGTGGAAGCGGCTGACCGCATTTCTCTCCCCTCCAGTGCCTCCAAAACCCACCGGTGCGATCCCGTGACTGTACCAGCTAGCTCTCCGCTCTTTCCTTCACCTAAGAACTGGGATCTCTCTCCGCGCTCACCTGGCGTACTTATTCGATGTAAGAGCCGCGAAAACACCCTTGCAAGCGTGACCGAACGCCACCCTTACCTCCCTGCCAGCTTAGCTAATGCTCGATACTCGGCGTAAAGAGGGGCTGGCCCATGATATTTGACCGTTTCCGAGCAGTCCGCGTATTCAGACATGTTCCCTGATCAAATCCTAGGAGAACGAAGGGGGGATACAATGGAGATGAAAAGTCGCAAGTTTGAGTCATGACGAAGACGCAATTGCTAGACTTAAGCCCGGCCGGACTCTCAATCAGGGCAAGGCAGGTACCGAAGGTCCAACGAGGGGCGGGCGGGAAGCGGGAAGATGGCGATAGCCTTGCTTCCCGTGGACCGTCGGGGTCTAATGTCTTGCCGGCTATTCACCCTCGTTCCTTTTCGAGTCACTATTTTCAGAGACACAAGCGAGGAATCCGAGTTATATCACGTATCACTCAGACATTGCACTCTCGAAGCCATGCTCGCGAGGGAAACTTGGCACAAAATCCTTGACACGTGTGGTATTCCTTCCTTTCTCGTGTCTCTAGGTTCGGCACACGTCTTGTCAAATTCCTTCCATTCCCCATATTGCACTAATTCAAGTTAGTAGTCAGCCCGTTCTGCCAATATCTCGGACTTCTTAGCCTACCACGCCCTCATGGGCCATTACCACCAAACTTTGATCCGAAGCCGCAGCCAAGATCAAACCCTCGGACCTTCAATCCATCGAGGCCATCGACGCACCTCCACAGTAGTTGTAAACGCCCGTACCATAAAACAGAACAGGGGATTGGCATGAAATCTGCAGACTAATACGAGACACGTCTGATGCCGATCAGCGGATGGCTGCACGGGCCAGTTTGAGAAATCAACGACCCGACGCCCGGTAACGGTAAGTCGGAGCCGTCTCTCCGACCGGCCTTTGAAATCCACACTTCCTCTCGGTCGAAATGGAACTCTACAATGCCCGACGCATTGGAAACGACACGATGATTGCTTTTACACGGATATCTTGGATTATAATTGCTATTGCACAGTCGTTGTAGTCTACTCTTCATCGTCGTCATCCTCAGACTCATCAGAGTCCTCATCCACCTCGTCTTCGCTCTCCTCCACTCCCTCTGGCCGAGGAATCATCGTGAATGCCGCTACACACGTGATGCGGTTGTTTGTGCTGTAAGTACCCAACAATTTGCCAGCCTTCTCGCCCTTGCCGGCGGTGAGCTCCTTTGCGCCAATCTTCCAGACCCGCAACTTGCCATCACTGCTGCCAGCAACCACCAGCAGTGCCGTGGAATCGCCCTCCTGGATTTGTAGAATAGCCGTGTCCTTGATGCGGCCAACAACACCATCGTCCTTGCCCCCAATCTGAGCGACCAACTTGGCGCTCGACAGGGTCTTGTCTTCTGATTCAGGCTTCTTCAAGTCGTCTGCCTTGGTAGAGAAGAATAAGACCCGTCCGTCCTCGGTGCACACCGTCAATAGGCTCGACTCGGATTCGCCGTCGATGGTGATGTAGGAGAGGTCGTGAATCTTTGTCCGCGTATCGGGCATGACCCGGCATTTGGGGACACTGTCCATGCCAAAGACGATAACGTCTCGGTCGAAACCAACCGCAAATTCGTCCTCATCCTCTGTCTTCCCCCAAACTACTCTTCGTCCCTCCCCCGTAGAGTGTCTTCCTTCTCCAACCTCCTGCAACATGCTGCGATTGAAGTTCAGGACACCGGCCTTCTTGCCAGTGACAAGATTCCACAGTCGCATACACCGCTCGCCCTTGCTGACGCTGATCATCAACTTCATGCTGGGGTGAATGGCAAAGTCGTTGACACCGGATGGCGCGCCGCCAAAGGGCGCAGTGTCACCGCTGGGTCTGCCCGAGGCCTGGGCTATCGGTGCCTTGATGGTCGACAAGACGGACCAATCCCTCGTTCTCGTGACGGCAATTGTGGAATCCTCGCTCGAGGAAAGCAGCTTCGACCGGGTGGGGAATGATAGCTTAGTGATGCTTGACGAGTGGTGTAGTAACGTTCCTAGCTCTCGGTTCTTGGGGTTCTCGAGAATAGGGCGAGCGGAGACGGCGGAGAGGGCGTCTTGGTTCTTGCGGTTCGGGGGATGCGCCGAAAGGTTGTAAAGGTTGATGCGCTCGTCGGTGCTGCCAGATGCCAGCAGGACCTTCTGGCCTTGACCGGGGATGGGTGCTGAGAGAGGAGACAGGGCGATGCAGCGGATGGCCGAGGTATGCGCAGAGAACAGGAAAGTGTCGGCGAAGTCGACCTTGCCCTCTGGCTTGATCGTCGCAGTGATGCCATGGAGAACTCGGTCGTAGGAGCCGGTGACAATCTGTATCGTCACCTCTTCGGCGGGGCCCGTCAGAGTTGCTGTTTCCTTCGCCTTAGACGCCTTTGACGGCTTAGATGTAGAGCCATTGGTGTTTGCTTTGGTCTTCTTCGAGGGTGCTGCCTTGGACGCGGGAGTCGCGTCCACGATCTCGACTCTCTTTCTTTTGGCTACCATTCTGATCGTCTTCGTCGTCGTTTCGCTAGGCCTACGTAAGTTTTCTAGCGTGCAAGATCAGATCAAAAAAGTTGCAGCTCTGCAGCAGCGCAAAGCGGCTCTAGACCCAGGCAAAGACAAAAAAAATTATCGAATCGATAAAAAGTCTTATCGTTATCTGATATCGATAAGACGCTGTGGGTACCTAGGTAAGGTAGCTGAATCTACCCCACCAACGAATCTGGATCTCTGCCTGACCATATACAGGATCAGACGAGCCTCACACTTGGTGCCGTCTGGCATTTCGGCTAGCCACAGCTGCCCAACCAATGACAGCATGTACGGTGCATTTACCCGACACTTCCCCGACTGCATTGCGAAACATGGAACAGGATGTGCCAGGGTCTTGGTTACTTCACAAGGCCTTTATGCCACCGCTCCACCACTAACAGCGGCCGAGGGACACTCCATACCTGCGAACTACGCACTACGCATGTCCAAGTTCAGGTCCAGCTGAATGGCAACTTAGACCCAACTCCTCCAAGACGCCAATATACACCATCATTACCATCGGCACCCAAGAATGGCTTGATTGTTTCTTGCTCGGGTCGCAAACGCTCGT